GAATAAACATAATGTTTATTAAGAAATCGTTTCTATGAGCATCTTAGGTACTTTTTAATTAATTACAAAAGGCGTTTAAAGAAGGAAATTGTGTAAAGTATTCTTCAAATATATCTTCCCTCGTCTGCACTCTTCATTTTCAACCATTTCGAGGAAGTTCGTTCAATTTGGGAAGTGACAAGTGACCATGCGTTTGCGATATTTCTTCGTTTGATGATCGAAAATCCAATACGGTCATAGAATTACGTATGTAGACTTAGGACAGAGCACTAGCACACATAGGTACAGTGTATTGTGTCAAACGTAGTATACGAAACGGTTACGTTTATAAGATTATATGCCCACTAATTGTTTTAACAATTTCGCAACATGCGAGGAGAGAATTACTAACGGCTGTTACTAACATATACTATAACAACGCTGTGTATAATAACGCATAGAGTAAACGGTAATCTGCTTCTAGTGTTTAGAATTAAACAATTTTCACGTTTTATCTGGTACCGCATTGATTCATTTGTGCAAAAATCCAACATGTTAAATTCATCAGAATCTCGGAGAGGCTACCGTGAAATCCGAGGGATTGTTAGCGACGGTAGCCGGCGACGGTGCGCAACAGTCGCAGCAACAATGCCCGGTTCGCGGTGAATCGCATACCGGAAGCGGTAACGAGAAACCCGGGAACGTCGACGAATCCGCGAGTGAAACCAGTAAACCGGGATGCGCGCCGAGCGAAGAAGACTGTGCCAAGAATCACGGGTGGAAAAAAGGATTCAGTCTGAAGAGGCAACTGAGCAAGGTTGATCTGAAAATAAAAAGTACTTTCACGCCGACATTGGTGACGTCTCAGAATGGGGTACTTGTATTTGCTTTTTTTTTTACATTCCTACGAACACGTTTTTACTTTTCTAGAAATTACAGAGTGCAAGCTGAAATAGTTTTGTCTTTTAATATTATTTACGCCCGTTCGTGTTAACGCTTCTTCTGCTTGGTTACTTGAAACAATTGCAGTTAATATTATTTCTCGCGTTTGTCCAATAGAGAAGGTGAAACGGTTTCGCTTATGTTTAGTATTTTCAACGTTGAATAGATTACTGTCAAACTGGTAAATAGGAAACTGAAAGTTAAATGACACAAGAACATTCTGATATTTCATTTCTTTTTCCCATACATTTTTATGCCCAACGTCCACAGTTATGTTGGTCTGTTTTATTGAAAGTATCGATTCTGAATCTTATCAGTTTGAAGTGATGTGTTGAACTGTAATGTTGAAGTAGCAGGATGTTACACAATATAATTTAACATTGAATATTTTGTTAGAAAGACATGAAGATTTCTTTTGGAACAGCTGAAATATTTTTGTTAAATGTTGCAAAATTATTTTTAGTTTAATTTGATTAATGATGTCGATTGCAAAGCAGTGTTTCTCGACACATGAGTTGCGACTTCCTTAGGAGTCGTTCAAATTTTAGTGATAGTTAATTCACGTTTTAGTTATTTTATTATAGTCATAAATAATTTCGAGATCGCTCAGATTATTTGACTACCATAAAAGGTAGTCGCGATTCAAGTGGGAAAACACTGACCTCGAGTCAGTAGCAATTATTTGGAAAAGAGCTTGTTTGGGCCGAGGACCGAGACAGAGAATACACATATACAAGTACCCCATTGTTAACAGGTAGGCACCGATCAGAAATCTTCCGTTTTTTACTGTAACGTCAACGAAACCGCGAGTTCGTTGTCACCGGTCGATAGTAGTACCGAGGCATCGCCGTCGTCTGAGGGTACGACGCTACTCGGACGCGAGAGTCCGTTGAACGACGAGAGAAAGAGGATCAACCAGGAGGCGAAGAGCCCGATGAACGAGGGCGACGTTAACGCTAGCAGATGGTTGCCGATCGCCGAGAGCGTGATCAGTAAATCGGACGCCGTGCGACCGGTGAATTTAACGTTGAACGCGACGACGGCCGAGAACGAGCTGAAGCCGCCGCGGCTGAGGAAGATTGTCAAGATGAAACAGCAAGCGAAACGAAGCGAGGGTCGTTTGTTGTCCGCGCCGAACTTGAAATTCAATAAGAACGACGCGATGATATGCGACCTAAGGTGCGAGGAAACGAGTACGGCGCCCGAATCATTCACCGGGAATCTGATAAGGCGATTCAGTAAGTGTTAACGCTAAATTAGAGTAGAGGAGAGTTTGTGTTGTCCGTGTGCATTTAGAGATTGTGATGATACGTGTTAGAGTTTCTTTCAACGTTTGGAACGTTGCGAATGTGGAGCGTAAATACTGTTCGTTCAGGTCTATAAGCGTGAGTGGGATGTTCGTTTCATTTCTTTTTTTTTTTTATCTATTAACAACGTATATGGTCTCTTTCTAACTGCAACGTTATTGCGTTCACTGACTGTTTCTTAGGTGACAAAGAATACTGAATAAAAGAGATGCCTCTGCAATGTCATTTAATGAAAGCGTTGTTAACTGTCTTCTTACAGAAGAATAGATCACATTGAGATGGGCTCTGCTATACCTGAACTATGCTTCTGTCTTTTTCTTTGATTTTTAAGGAAAGCCTAGGATGCTCGTAGATTCGTGTATAATAACATCTAGTGGTAATCTCAAGTAACTATGTTTATATATGTATATGTATGTGTACAGACCGAGTCACGTCGCAATCGAACTTTAAATATCTTTGCAACTATTTTCAAAGTTAAATCATTTCGAGTATAATTTAATTTTTCAATTAGAGAACGTATTAAAGTCTGTTTTTTCTTTTAATTCATTTTCTTTACAATATTCCATGAAAAATGTCTAAGTCTGATTATAATCATTTATTAATTGAGTAAAAAATTTATACAGCAGAAAATTGTTTCTCTCGAAACCGCTTTAACTTTTGGCGAACACGTAGTTGATAATTTCGAAGATATTTGAAGTTTAATGTTTTCAGATGACTCGCTCTGCACTTATATGAAGCTAAAATATATATACAATATATTAAGCTTTCGCCAGAAACTAATCGTTGGACTCAAAGGTTTATGTGAAATACGTTATCTGTTTCGCTGGTTAGGATACACGATTTATCAGGTCCACTTATTGACTTAATTTCTTGTCTTCTTATTTATTACCAATTCGGGTTTCTCCACATTTTTGGAATTACGAATAAAAAGAGTTCATCGTACGAACGATTATCAACGACCATTGACTCACATAAATCTGTGAACAGACGCGAGATAAAATCAGCTTGCAAGAGTAAAATGCCAATTGAGCGGTATTAGACCCCCTGAGCTTTTGTTCGACCGATTAGAATTTATTCATGCATGACCGATGCGGAATCACATAGGATTTATCATTTATCTCGATCTTATTTGATGCCGCTGCACATGAAACGAAGTAGAACCCTCTCCTCTCTCTTGCGGAGCATGTACCATCCGTTACTCGGAAAAAAAGGTTCAATTGTGTGGTCATGAACTCGGTCAGGTGAATTTTCGTTTCCACGACTTCCTTCATTTTCTTTTCCTCAATTCGATTAACAATTCTTTTCATTTCGACATTTGTGATCTCTGTGACAGTAGCGATATATGCACTCTGTGATCTAAATTTAATGGCAAAACACCCCGATTTAACTTAACGACACGTAAACTTAAAAGGTAATAATTAACAGCAAATCCATTTAAAATATTCGACATTCTCATATAAAAAAATATCATCTTATTAAAAAAAAACTAAACTCTTCTGCTTCGACAAAAATTGATATCTGAACATTTGTAACGTAGTTGTATCTTTTTTGTTAGATCTCTTCTAATTTTGTCGTTTCAATTATTTCGTACTACATATTGCTAAATCAAAATCTAAATATTGCATAAATGGGAAGGGGAACGAGAATAATATGGACGTTACACAGTTAAGTATGAAAAGTTATGTGGAATAGATGTCGGAGTTCTTCCAGATCATTGGAAATAAAAGTGTAGAGTCTAATATAAGAGTCAGTCAATCAGTTTCACCGGTAGCGTATTATAAACCTAAACATTACCACGTAAATTAAAGAATAAGCAATTTCGATAGGATTTGAAGATTCTTATCAGAGAATTTTTAGAAGAGTGCAGACTTGTTCGTGTAACTTATTTAAATAGGCTTTCAGGTTTTATTCAGAGGGTGCCTACATTTTCTGTTTAGAAAATCGAATTAGTAAAGAAAAATTTAGCATTCTAAAATAGTTCAGCCAAATTAAGTAGAAGAACGCTAAAAGGGTTGAAACATCTCGTCAGCAATTTCGTTTCAAAACTTTTGTATCCTTTTTATCTGACTATCTTTTTTCGAATTGATGATAAATAGAATTAGAAAATATTTGCTTGCACGTGTATCTTTTATGCTCGTTCAAGTCCAGTGCTAACACTTATGTACGTATGTATAATACATAATACTGTGTACTATAGGAACTGTACTGATAAAGAATTGACGGCAGATCGATGGGAAATACACAATTTATCCTAAGGCTACTTTAGCTGAAAGCAAGCAGGAGAGCGTGTACGCACAGTCACAAAAGTTTGCATCGACAACACTTTTGAAAAAAAATATTGAACGACGACTTTTTACAAAATTGCTTCGTCATTTGCATATTACACCAAAGCTTATTATACGAGAAGAATGCATAATAAATACGTGGATGATGAATTTAGATTTATCTTTCATGCATATTAGATTTAGTGATTTAGTACTCATTTATTTTCCTAGCAAACGATTGCACGACACGTCTCGTCATTATAACTAGAAGAAATAAATGAATATTCAAATACATGGCTTATAACGATATTTGAACTTTTTAAAATATGCCCAGCATATGAT